ATAAAATCTTTTTATTTATTCATTTGACAGAGAGAGAGACAGCGAGAGCAGGAACACAAGCAGGGGAGTGGGAGAGAGAGAAGCAGGCTTCTCGTGGAGCAGGGAGCCCGATGCGGGGCTCGATCCCAGGACCCTGGGATCATGACCTGAGCCGAAGGCAGACGCTTAACAACTGAGCCACCCAGGCATCCCAATAAATAAAATCTTTAAAAAAAACCACAAAACCATTAAGAACTAATTAGTAATCTCTTGAAATAGTATGGGAGGCAATACTCAAGAGTCTTAAAAAGGCATACTACTCAAAATGGGTTTGGAACTCAGCACCTAGGGGAGGGGGAGCAGTGTCAAAGCTGACTCCTCCTCCTGCCTTCAGTTCATTTTTGGGGGTGGCTTGGCCTTCCTGTAGGCAGTCAGCACTAACCAGGTGCCGACTGCCAATTATTGACCTGTTCCTTTTATTCAAAATAAGCATTTGAATCACCCCCAAAGCAGTCTTGTCATATCCTACTATTCGCCCAGATCACCTGAGGATCTTATTAAAATGCTAGTTCTGATATAGTGGATCCTGGGAGTGGAGTGCAAGATTGTACATTTCTTTTTCTTTCTTTTTTCTTTTTTTAAGATTTTATCTATTACAGAGAGAGCATGCGTATGAGTGAAGGGAGGGGCAGAGGAGGAGGGAGAGGAGAGGAACAGGCAGACTCGGATCCTGATGCAGGGCTCAATCCTGATCCCAAGACCCTAAGATCATGACCTGTGCCAAAACCAAGCATCTGAGCCACCCAGTTGCCCCTAGATTGTGCATTTCTAATAAGCTCTTATATGTTGCCCTTGCTTCTGTTTTAAGACTATACTTTGAATAGAAAGGCCCTAAAGAACTTTAGGGGAACATAGTTTGAAAATGATTTAATATGTGGTGCTGTCTGTCAATTTTAGTTTCCTGAATCAATTAGATTTTACTTTGTTCAGGCTTATTTTGAAGGTCCAGTAAAGAATTAATACTGTGTAGTAGTTTGCTGCTTACCAGGTAGTAGATAGCAGAGTCTTAGCTGAGGCATCTTCAAACTGGTTACACTCACTCTTTGCTTTCTAATTCATGACAAGATCCCTCTGGGAAAAGAATCAACTATATTTAGCTGACCATAGTAATGACTTTCAATCTGATGTTTCCTGTTATTGTTTTCCCCTTTCTTTTCTTTCCCTCAATTAATGTCATTGCTTTGAAGAAATGATACCTCCTTTTAAAAAAAAGGTCTGTGGGCACCTCTGCTCTAGATACTAATTTTCAGCGTTTCGTATACCATTTCCTGGGTTGGAGAGAAAGCATCTTCTCTCTAGGATATAAGTACTTCTTTCTTCTGCCATAGAACAGTCAGCCCTGTCCCAAAATTGAGTAATACCAAGAGCCAGTGGAAACCAAGAAAATGATGGTGATGTTATCTGTGCTCATAATAAAATAGTGCCCTTTCTAAGGCATTGGGATTTTGAGAATTTGACTCTGTTCCTGCTTATAGGGCCTCCAAAGACTTATTTGAAATCCGAATCACCATACCTAATAGTTTTGAAGGTTCACAAGTGTTTCTGTGCCCTTCGGCAACCCCTTACTCTATATCTGGGTGGGCTCTGAGGGTTGTATATAAGACTCTACCCAAGGGCTATTTATGTATTTGATAAGGCTGGCCAGAAATTTTAAGTTCTGGTCTTCTTATTTTTGTTAAATTCAAAGAGCATTTGTTTTCCCTTCCGTTTCACCCTTTCTTACTCAGAACAAACACAAATGGATCAGATGAGCCTGAGGATGCAGGGGCTGGTGAAAATAGGAAGGTCAATGGGAATAATTCTCCATCACTCTCAAATGGTGGTTTTAAACCTTCTAGGCCTCCAAGACCTTCACGACCACCTCCACCTACCCCACGTAGACCAGGTGCGTATTCCAGCCATACACTAGGGATGTAGCTGTCCATACTGTGATTGTAAATAATATTCTGTTTGGGAATTGATCCTCAGGTAAGTGTCAAAAGATCCTTTTAGGTCAGTGTTCTAGCTGTATTTTTACATTTAAGTTTTGGCCAAGAATGATCTTTCTATAGGTAGACTAATGTGTGCCTTTTCCCTAAGTTTTTCCTCCAGGGTGAAGTTCTTGAGGTAAGTGCTTTATTGGGAGTGAGGAAAAAAAAAAAAAAAGAGAGAACCATAAGTGCATTATTAAAAGTATAGGCAGTATAGATAAAATTGCAACTTTTCGGCAGGGTTTGTAATAGTGTGGACATAAGCATGTCATACTGTCAAGGATCTGCTTGCTTATTATCATTTTATCCTTTAAAAGACAATTAGAAATGGCAAGTAACCCAACAATGCTAAATGATACTCACATTTTGAAGCAAAAATTATACAACAAATGAACATATTTCATGTAAAAATATAAACATCTGTAGATAGAATATCCATTTTTCCCGATTACCCAGAATAAAATATTTAATCTTTCACTTTTCCTTCTATATGTAGACAGGCAATATGAAATACTTAAACCAGATATTATTGGAAAAGTAAATTAGTTGTCTACAAATCATTTTAGTAAATGACTTTGTTTTTAATTACACATCTTCCCCCCTTTTTTGGTAGAAAATGTGTTAATAATATATTCCTAGCCTTTAAGATTATATACTACTTTATCAAAATATTGGTGACTTCCCTGAGGAATTGTTTTGTCAAGTCTTTCTTGAAAAGGTGATATGTACTTTATAACTGTTCTATAAGAATGTAGTTGCTTAACAGTCAGATCTTCTGTATTTTAACTAACATCAAAAATTGGTCTTTGATCTTCAGGGTTTCATAGAAAAGACAATTTTAAGGATCTGGAAAATTACAAAATGAACTTATAATACCAAATGATATCAGTGCTTTCCTTCTTATTTTTTAAATAGTTTTTATTTCTTGTATCAGAAAATCAGAATTTATATGTGCTTCATAATTAATAAAGAGACATAGGGTAGATGGAACCTAAAAAATTATTTAAAAAGTTTAAGTAATTTTCACCTGCATATCCATCTTAAAATTTGTTTGTCATCTACCTTTTTATTTTTTTAAAAGATTTTATTTATTTATTGACAGAGAGCGACACAGCGAGAGAGGGAGCACAAGCAGGGGTAGCGGGAGAGGGAGAGGCAGGCTTCTTGCTGAGCAGGGAGCCCGGTGCGGGGCTCGAACCCAGAACCCTGGGATCATGACCTGAGCCGAAGGCAGATACTTAACGACTGAGCCACCCAGGCGCCCCTACCTCTTTATTTTTTAAAGTTAAAATTCTGTCCTGAACTTATCTGAAAATAAAAGATTGTTGTTTCCCACAAATCTTTTATAGCATCTGTCAATGGTTCACCATCTGCCACTTCTGAAAGTGATGGATCCAGTACAGGCTCTCTGCCACCAACAAATATAAATTCAAATACATCTGAAGGAGCAACATCTGGATTAATAATTCCTCTGACTATATCTGGAGGCTCAGGCCCTAGGCCATTAAATTCTGTACCTCAGGCTCCCCTACCACCTGGGTAAGTAACTGTTTTTGGTTACTATTTGTTTGCTTTCGGCTTCTGCATATACTTAACCAATAAGGAAAATAATACTGAACTCCATTCTTTAAAAAACCATCTTCAAGCAATGGTAACTGATTTTGGGGGTGCTGTGTCTAGAGTCATACTGAACCAAAAAAACTCACCACATTAGAAATCCACCCCCTCCTCATTTCCGGGGCAAAGGTTTTTGTTTTTTTGTGGGGTTTTTTTGTTTGTTTTTAATTGAAGGACTCTGAACCATAGTAGGTTAACCAATGCCATGTAGTATAAAATAGTCACCTAATTCAGATTGCTTTCTCTTTGAAGGGGGGAAAAACACTTTTTAAAATAAAATTTTTCCAGCATAAAGTCATTATAGCAAAGTAGTAATAATTTTAAAAAACTGAGAAAATTAGTACTCATAATCCCATTTTAATCTCTTCTAATTATTTTAAAAATTTAATGCTCTGATAGTTTACATACTTATATACATTGTGGCATTCAATTAATCCAGGGCTTGGAATCTAATTAAAATTAATTGCTTGATAAATTAATAAATCCTTATGATGAAAATTTTAATTGCTAAACAGATATTACTGTGGGTAGTTGGGCCATTTTCCTTTTGCGAAACCTACATGGGAAGCCAAATTAGAAAATTATTTGTGCAAGGGATTAGCAAACAGAAACTTGTGCTCTCCAAAGTGATTGGTACTTCTAAGCTGTGATGGTTTATTCCTGTCTTCTTCTCTTTGGGGATTAACCTATCAAGGAGATTAGAATACCCAGATTGATTTTGTCTGTTAGACTGTGCAGAGACACATCTGATAAAATCTTAGTCTTTCATTTCAGTTCTTCTAGAACACATTGTGTTCTGCCTTTCAGTTAGCAGCTCAGTCTTTCTTCAGATTTCAAAACATTAATTACAGCATTTTTTTCCACCAAGTCTTTCATATACCACAATCAGATTGAGGTAGACTTTGTCTCCTGAGTGCATATACCTCAAACCTCTTTACAAATACAAGGCATCTCTTGAGCAGATACTGCTGCAGAAGTCTTACCCACTCTGTCATCCTCAGGATAACATTTCTTGACTTTATTCCTAAATTCTTTTGGTATCTTCTTTTTATATTGACATGCTTATTTGCCTCAGTTCTGTAATATGGTCATATAAGAGAAAATATCAAAGATAAGTGCCTTTTAAATTTTGTGTTTAAGTTGGGAGCAGAGAGTGGACCAGCATGGACGAGTTTACTATGTAGATCATATTGAAAAAAGAACAACCTGGGATAGACCAGAACCTCTACCTCCTGGGTAAGTATCTGAATTAAAGAAGAAAAAAAGTATTCAGAACTATAGAATATTATATCTGTACAAAATCTCCCCTATATCCCTAGTAGTTTTCCTCTTCCTTTCAGTCTTTTCTGAAGTTTCCATAAAGTATCCACTTTGTGTTGTGGTAGGTGCAAATTAGAAAGAAGAGAGAGAGGGGCGCCTGGGTGGCTCAGT